GTGGGGCTTGAGCGTGTTGTCGTCTTTGTTTCTGTTTGTGTGTGTGTTGTAGTTTGGGATGTAGATGTCCCATGAATATGTTCTGTTTTTGGTGGAGTTGTTGATACTGTAGTTGTCTCATGTTTGGTTTGTAATTTTGGTGTTGTTGTTACTTCTGTGGATGACAGGGTTTCAGTTGTTGAAGTGGTTGTTTTTATTTCTTGTGTAGTTGTGTATGGCGCTGTAGTTGTCTCGCACGGTACTGTTATATATACACAACAGTTAAATCTTACTTCATAGTTGTAGCATATGGGTGGTAGTTGGTCTTTATTGTAGCATATCAACCCTTCTTCTGTATTACATGTTATTTGTTGCTCCAGTTCTTGATACGGTACGTTAGGGAACCTTACTGCTCTGCATTCAACACCCTTTCTGTTATCACAGACTTTATATCCCTCATTTTTAATGTTCTGGATTGTATCAAAATCTCCATCATTGTATCCAGAGCCTGGATAACTGACATCATACCACCTTGTCCAGTGACATTCTTCTTTAATGCAAAGAGGAGGTGTTGAAGGTGTGACAGGTGGTGTAATTTCAGTTGTGCTTGTTGTTTCTTTAGTAGTTGAAGTTGTGAATGTACTTTCAGAAATTGTAGTAGTTGGTGATGTTACTGTGGTTGAGAATGATGTGGTTTCTACAGTTGGAGTTTCTGTGCTCTTAGCTGCAGTTGTTTTCGGTGTTGTGGAAGAGCATGGTACATAAACACAGCATAAAATTCTGATTTCATAGTTGTTGCACATTCCTGAAATTTGATCTCTGTTGTAACATAAAAGCCCACTTGTTGTACTGCATTCTACTACTTGACCAAGGTCTGTCAGAGGTATATCGGGGTATTTCTCTGCTCTGCACTGAACAGCCCGTGGAGCTTTACAGACTTCGTAACCTTTAGCTCTCAAATCATCAAAGGTTTCAAAATCTCCACCATCATAGCCAGGGGTTTGCAGACTGCCATCATACCATTCTGACCACTCACAGACTTCATGAACGCATACTGATGTAGTTGGTGACACTGTGAAAGGAAAAAAAGAGACCACGAATCTTAGAATAAATTCCCGTGTATGTCACTTTTCATTATATTAAATGTGTTGATTTTCCTAAGGTCTTTTGCTTGCCTTGTGAGCCTGCCGTGCATCAGTTCAGTGTACTTATAACTCGATATGAGGCAGAACAGAAAATCCCATCAATTTAATGTACTAATGTGCTTGGAATTTTCACTTCCCACAAGAATGTTAATTATGCTTTACAAAGTGCTGAAATAAGTCTTGAACATAAATTATACACATTGGGGGGAAAAAAATCTCACTTTTTCAACATTTGATTCAGTGTAATTGCTTAGTTTGTACCTTGTTTCAATATTTACTAGTGTCTCTGGAATGTCAAAGCCTGATTCAAAGTCAGTGGAAAGAATAACATTTAGTCTATCTATCTAGATTCATAGGTACTTTTTTCTTTCCACCCAGTTGATTCTTCATGCAATATGATACATTGTCTTTTGAAGTAAAAGATGTCCAATGCAGCAGTATTAGCTCTCCTTACACTTTGTACTTTAGCTCTGGTCTTAACAAACCATTTATTGGTCAGAGGGCAGTCTGTAAGCATTTGCAGGTGAATTCTCATTGTGAAATGGCTGGAAAATAGCTAATGAATCCCAACAGTGTTGATGGTTTCTGGATTTCAAAATTTCTTGTTCTAAATGTTATACTGAATACTTGTTGCATTAAACAACATGTGCTCATAGTAATTGGAAATTACCAACCTGAAGAATGCTGAATGGGAATTCTAGAAATAAGAATTTCGGTATCTCAATGCTAATATGTGAGCAACCACTTAGTACTGTAATTATAAATACTGTGAACCCTAACAGGAGTTTTACAGAAAGTAATATTTCTGTATCTTAATAGGAAAAATAATGAATTACTTGTTCAGTAAAGGTTATTCTAGTATAGAATTAGTTACAATTACAGATAATAAAACTGAAACTGGGTTTTTTTAGTTGTTTTGTTTTTTTTTTCCATTCACTACGAAGATAAGAAAAATAGTATCAAACCAGTGTTCAGTCATTTCCATTATGATGTTTCAGAAGTGGTTTTATTTTCTATATTTAGTTCCTTGTATCAGTTTGGTTACCAAATACTAACTGAACCCAAATGCTACTAACAAAGGAGACTTACTGTCATTTATTTTGAGGTTGCATTGTTTCATTTATGTTGTGAGTGTGGGCATGGTTTTATAGCTATTTTGTACTCACTAATGAGCAGAATACACTTTTATGGGCTATAGAGGATGTACCTGTGGAAGTAGTGGCAGGTGTCATAGTGCTGAAGTGAAATGTTGTTGCTGTTGTGGGTGATGTTGAGATTGGACATTCATAGACAACCCTTTCAATTGTTCCATTGGGACCACAGGTTGCAACAATACACCCTCCTGTGCCATCTGTAGTATTGTAGATCACATCCTTATAGTTGTATTTATGTCCCTCATAAATGCAGACACATTCTGTAAATCAAAAGACAGTGTTATTCCTTGGTATCGAAAGCACAGAGTACCTCAAATGCATCCTATTCAGATAAAAACCTTGTCAACCTACCATATTCATCATATTTGCATTTTTTGCCATGAATTGTGCATTCACTGGAAAAGAGAAAAAAGGAGATGATGAAAGTGAATATATTGTTTCATGATATCATTTTATTGTTTCAATTTTTTTCTAATGGCCTTTTTCTATTCATTGTATGTTTAATGTAGAAAGACCCTATCTTCTCAGAGTTAGATATTCAGTTCTGTTGTACAAATTCAGGTTGGATAGGATCACTAATTTTTTTGGCAAGAAAGGCAACTCTTCTATGCCAGCATACTAAACATGCAGTATCCTTACCGGTGCTTTTTGGGGCTGGACAAAGATGTGGGGAGCAGTGATCTGAAATGTTCTTATCTCCCTGATAGGTATACTTATTTTTTGGAAGGGAAGGTGCAGTAAATGTGTCATTCAAGAAAGGGTCACTGTATCATGGATGCTGATGTTGTCTACACAGCAAATTTTCATAAGACTTCCAAAAGATGCAAGAATGAATTCTGTTTTTGAAGGGAATTTATCTATTATCTGTTAAGAATTGAATCTTGATATATTTATTTATGGTGACTAAGGGCATCTGTACACTGAATAAACTTAAGTAAATATAGATATGTATTTAACAGGTTAGATTTGGTGCTGTTAATGACATTAGATGATGCAGGTAAAGCTGTCTATGAACTGCAAAACATGCTATGAAAGTTGGGTTAGCTCTGATGGGCTTCATGCTAAGCTCTTTGCCATTCTGACTGCACTGCTTACAGTATCCAAGTGTAGCTACTTTAAAGGTATCTTAGGACAGTTGTTAACTGCTTCACAACTGGTTCTGATAACTTTTTGTGCTATTTGATAGAAGGCTTAGCAGCACGTGTCCCAACATGTCATAAATCCTGACAGAACTTGTGGGAATACCTGCTGGGTGTTGCAAATATGCAAGTACCAGTGCAATAACAGAAACAGGCTCAAAACAAGATGAAGATGAATTGCCTACTAACTTCTAAATAATTTCATATAATGATTTTAGGAATATCTTAATAAAAATTCTCAGACTGTTGCTATATTATTATTGTAAATTTGGTTTACTTAATTTAATAATGCTAAGAATAATAATTTTAAAGTACTTTAATAAGAATATGAATAAATAGTAAATTCATCTCTCTATGGTAAAATATTTCACAACATCATCATTTAAGTTCCTGGGAATAGAAGAAAATTAGGCATTATTCAGCAGCCTATGACTGGCCTCGTTCCTGTTGGCAAACAAAAAACTTAATGCATGATGAATTACATTCCAAGGCTTTAAACTCAATGTTTTAAAATCTTTACAAATCCTACCATGATTGACAATTCTGCTCTGAAGGCATCTTCATTCCTGGTTTGTAATTTTTTCCATTTTCATAACAACCACAAGTAGAAACACAAGTCATGGTTTCTTCATCAAAATAGGGCTTATTCTTTGGACATTGTGGATAGCAGCCTGCAATAAAAAATGAGAATTATGTTGACACTAGGCCTTTCACAAATAGAAGTAACTCTACACTCTGCTTATATCTGTTTTCTCCAAATTATCCCATATGGTAAGTGGAAGCTTAGACTCTGTTAGTGCTATTCCTTTGATTGCACATTAAGCTTTGGAGCATTTTGTCCTGATTGTCACTCCAAACAACTTCATGATTCATTAGGGAGTAAGATACTAATTAGAAAATTAAGCTTTCGAGGATTTTGTCCTCATCTTCATTCCAAAAAAGTTCATAATTGATCAGGGAGTAAGATACTAATTAGAAAATGTCTTCTTATAATTTCTAATATAAACATGTCATATACTGAGTAATATAAATCGTGTTAATCATATTGCATTTTAACTTTTTATAAGTAGAATGAGATATGCATGATTATGTTTACCTTCCAAACCTCTCAACTCATGAAGGCATTTCCCACTTGGATTATTGCAGGTCTTCATACAAGGGGCTCCACATGGCTGGTAGTGCCACTCACATTCCCCTTGTGGATTGTAGTAATCGCAGAACAGAGCTAGAGGAAGGAGTAATGTCAGGAAAAGGCCTTTGATCGTTTTGCTCTACAGTCCTTCAGTTTTGCTGGGTAAAAATCCCATGTGATCAGCATAATCACATAGGGAGTAGACAGTATATTGCCTTTTTTCTAATTTAATAAAATTGTTACACTTCTTATCACCTTTTGACATCAATAAAGTTATAAAGCATAAAACAAAGGTACACATTAAGCATGAAAAATCAATTAATTAAATCTGATTTGAGCTAGTATGCACTGACATTCATTTACACCAAGACTGATGCAGACTGGTGAGAGTGTAATATAGTTTACTAGTTGTGTATCATGATTAACAAGGAAATCAGACACTAATAACACTGTTGGAAAAGTTATCAATGGATTCACTTTAAGAAGATAGACTGGCTTCCAGCGATTTAGCCAACTTGCTTTGTTGTTTTTTGGTTTGGGTTTTTTTTGGTTTTTTTTTTTTTCTATTTTTAGAATATATCAGTGTCTCTTACAAATACAATTTTATCCTTCTTTCTTTATTCATTCTACTTGTTTTTCTTATTTTCTTCTCTGTTTCCTTTTCTTTCCCTCTGGACCTCTTCAAAAAGTAGTAGGGTCAAACTCACGACAAATGGATGGGGTTCTCCATGCAATGCAGATGTCCAGCTCATTGCACGCTTGAGCATAAGCAGCTACTGCTGTACAGAAACATTCACAGTCTCCTCCAGTGTCGCAGGCACAAGCATCATCCACACATGCTTGATAATATTCATTTGGTTCAACCTGTTGGAGAAAATATTAGAGTTTTGATGCACTTCTAAAACGCATTCACTGTCCTTAAAGAGCTGAATAAAATATCTAAACTGAGAAAGACAGGAAGAAACCACAAGAAAGCTTTGAAAAATCAAGAGGAAAATGTAGAATAAAGTTGTTACTAATAAGTTGTAATGCTAAGAACTATTTGATGCTGAAGATACATTTGCAGAAAGAATATCATTACATTACTACAATCTAGCATGAAGTCATATATATCAGGTGGTTGATATTTGTATTAGTAGAAAATTATGTGATTAGAAAATAAACATCCTGAGATTTATTTATGATTCTACCTTCTATTAAAAACAAACAAACAAACAAACAAACAAACAACTATCAATTTCTTTAGTGTAATAGTTCAAGGCAAAAGCTGAGAAAATGAAAGTGAAAATAATTTCTATGCAGTCTCCCCGGAACTTGGTTTGATTTCACTTTGTCAAGCATGATAAAGTGTATTTTAGTGTATTTTTCAGCTATTCCACATAAAAATTAGTGTAATCTCTCACTCATGAGAATTTAAGACTGAAGTTTTTGTCATACCTGAGAATGACACTTCGCGAACACTCCACTAGTGATGATGCTGCACTGCTTCTGTGCCCAGGCTTTCCTGTATGGGTTTGCTGTGCATGGATCCTTGGTACGATTGGCATTTGGGCAACTAGAAGACACTTTCCAGCTATTGGCAAACTCCAACACATTTCCTACCACAGACTGACTGCGAGTAGTGAAGTCATTATTTCCATTGCCATCATAGTTTCCACAAAGTCCACAGACATGTCCCTGCGTGAGGATAAACACAAAATGACAAAGATCTGTAAGGTACAGTTTCTCAGCATCTGTGAGTAACAGACCTCAGGAGGAATCTTATTTGAAATTATCTAGGCCTCTTCAGTAGCAGTCTTGGACATTGTCACAAAACACCTTTTATGAAGAGATCTCTCTAATTTTTTGTTAGGAAGGGTAAAGATAAGAAACAGCGTCGACTCATGGTGCCTGTTCTCACTGTTTAGTTCATTAGTTTTATCTAATCATGAATATATCTCTTCAGTGAGGGCTTTTCAAGAAGAAAGCTACTGATATAGTTGCTGTTACGCCATTGCTGAATAACATAAGTAAAATGTGCAGTACACAATCTAAGTCAGCATTACAAGGATGAAAATATGCAAATGCTGCTCTTTCAGTCTTCTGGTTACAGACTAAATTTCCTTTTATTTTTTTTTCTTTGAGAGATAACATGAATATATTTCAGAAAAAAAATTATCCAGGTTTTGGGTTTTACAACGTACCTGAAAACTGGGACTAAGTTTGATGAATATACTGGTTTTCTTGTCCCACATGAGTATCAGGCCAACAGAAGTGTCAACCACCAGGTAGATGCCCATGGAACGGATTTGGAATGGCATTTTTCCTCCAGGTGTCCTCTGGATGACATCAGAGTGTCCATCACTGAGTACCAGCTCATAGTTCTAGGACAGGAAAAGAGAAAGTTAGAGGCCAATTAAATAGGTCACCTATTGAGTACAGTTTAATTTATTGCCAGTAACTGCTATTGAAATAACTCCATAATCATTAAAATAATTCTATTCAACAGCCCCAAGGTAAGCACTTTCTCTTTAGAACTCCCTCCTTCGCATTCTCTATCAGTGAGCAAAGAATTGGAGTAACATTTTCACTGTCTTGGGGGATACTTCTGCAATGCAGTCTATCTGGGACAGCTTGATCTGTCCCTTCTGGTACATTAGGCCCGGGGTACAACTTATTAAAGAAAATACTTACCCCCAGAAAAACTTTAATAGACTTAGAACAGGTGGTTCCTGTAGTGCCACATGGAATGTTCTCAGTGATGACTCTGAAGGTTCCCTGATTCATACTTTGTTGACCACAGTAGTTCTGAAATAGGGCAATGATGTTCAGTGTTCACTATGTTACATGGTCATATGTACAATGCAAGGCACTTCAATAGTGCAAAAATCTAGGAAGGACTCTGTTACCTGGACCAGAACATATTCACAGTCTCCTTCAAAATCAAAGCGTTTGCCATCAAAGGTGGTGTAATGCCCATCTCCATAAACAGAACAGGTTTCCAGGCAAGGTTCATCAGAGCAGTGCCATTTTCTGTTTCTACATGTGCTATGTAAGACAAAAACCACTCCAAATGTAAAAACCAGACGTACACATGATATAGCTATATGTACATTCCTGCCTGTGTATCAATGTGATTTTAAAATTACTAAGCCTATAATGAAAAAGGAAGGTTTACTTATTCTCAGAAATGCAATATAGCTTAGCAGCCTTTGGGATTTACCCAAAGACTGTGTTACTTCATGATGTCATGAGTAATTTGGGTTAGAAAATACTTTAAACCTTTCACATTTCCAGATCTTGTTGGATGTACTGACATGCAGCAATGGAATGCAAGGAAAAAAGCTTCTGTGACTCAGATGACAATATCCAAACCATATTGTTCTTCTGATTATTTGCAACTTTAGTGCTGTGGGCCATTGTAAAAAACAGACAGAGCTTGCTTTTTAGGTACTAAGTCAATCATCTTATGTAGGATTCCTTCCTATAAATCTTGATACCACTAGCAAGAAATGCTGTAATTAATCTCAAACTTAAACTTCACTTTCAGATGCTTGAAAATAATACTTTTCAATATGCTCTTACCAGTTGTTACAGCCAACTCTGATTGATTCTCCTGGTCTGTAGGAATTCCCATTGTGAATACATGGACATTCTTCTGGAGCTATACAGCCGCCTTTGCCATCTAACACTTGGTTATGAGGACATACACAGCCGGAGACACAGTGGGTACTGTACTGTAAGGATCATACAGAAAACATGACTTGAAACATTTCCCTGATGCAGCTGGTAATTGTAAAAGAGATCTAGTTTAATATGCTTTCAACTGGGTATTAAGAGTCTATACTTACGCATTCCATATCTAGAGTTTGACAGCTCTTCTGGCATCCTGCTCCTACCAAATCTGTAGTGGCATTGCCACAGTCAATATAGACCATGGGAGGCAGGCAGACTGAAAAAGAGAAAATCCATGAGAAATGTGAGATCAGCCATGTATTTATATCTTTGTGTTTCCTTAAGGCAAACAGAATAAAAATAATGACCCCTTTCTCAGATATGAATATCTTAATATAATACATTTGACCAGAAAGAGAAACTGAATATTGTTTTGAAGCTATGCTCATCTGGTTTTTGTGCTTATGCTTGGACTACTCATAGAAATGAATCTTTAGTTAGCTTCATGAAACACTTTCAGAAAAAACAAACAAACAAACAAAAAACCCCCAAAAAACAAAACAAAAAAAACCTGGAAAACAAAGATCCTGGTTTACTTTGTATCTTTTGAGGCTTTTTGTACTTTTATTTCATTTAAAATGTGGATGGTATTCTCCTCACATTCAGTGAGGTGACCAAATATTCTTTGCCCCTGGGTAGTCCAGGGGGTTATAACTGTCTGAAAGGTAAGACAGTGTTCCTTTATATTTTGGGAATATGCCCTACATTACAGAAGTCATCAGTTCATTTTCTTGTTTGATTTCAGACTTGTAGAATTTGCATCATTATGACAAGAAAAGGGAACTGAAAAGGGTAAAGACGGAAGGGGAGAATTATCTTAAGTGATACGTTACCTGGTTCAGGTTTCTCTCCAATGCAGCTCAGCTTTCCATAGGTGCAAGTGCTATAAAAAAAAAAAAAGAAAGAATGGATATATTTTTTTCCTTTGTTAAGTTTCAGCTTGTTTCCTAATGAAATTGAAATAATGAAGAAATACTGTGTGACACAACAGAGAAAATGTGTCTTTTATCAGAATAGATTGTGTTATTCAAAAATATTTTATGTTGGAGCAGACCAAAATACAGACATATTCTATATAAATACAGGTTTACTCTGTCCATTTGCCTGGTTAAAAACTATCCTTCAGAACAGTTCAGATTCCATTCATGATGAGAGTAATCTGTAATGGGATTATCAAGCATCTTTCACCATGGAATAAGTCTTTTACAGTCATGGGTAAGAAAAGGATGTGCGGTGGGGAGGGAGGGAGTTTTGGACACAAGGTGGT